TCCGAAGGAGGAGTCTGGAGGAGGAGGGGAGGGCCCACAGCACAGCAGGCTCCCACGGTCCTGTCTTCATCCTCATGCCATCCTGCGGAGATGAAGCTGTCTCCCATCTTACAGATAAGAAAACTTATCTGTAAGTTTTCATAGCAGTTCAGAAGCTAACCACAGGTCATGTGGCAAGTGTTGGGGAGCAAGCCCGAGCCCCTTCCTGCCACACCAAGGCCCTGCCTCTGCCTCCCAGTCACAGGGGGAGGAAGTGGAGGACTGTCCTCTGACTCCCCACCCGGACCATCTGTCAGGGGCGGGCCTCAGGAGGGCATGCAGAAAACCAAACACTATCCATGTGGCATGATTCTGAGCACCACTCCGACCAACAAGCACCTCAGGGCCCGCTGTGAACCAGCCCAAGGTCCAAGATCTCCCTGGCCATTGTCCTGAGGGTGCCTGCTGGGACCCACACATTGTCTCCCGGGGCCAAAGTCAGCAGCTCCCGGGTGGGGCTGTAGTAAGGGTAATTCCAATTTTCATTACGCCGGGACTATTTTTATTCCCTGCTTGTTTTATAGAAAGTTAGAATGGGGATGGAACCCCTTACAAATATTAGAAGATATGTAGATCCATAACATAGTCTGGCCACAAGAGAGAAAGTAGAGAAATCAGATGAAGGAGTTAAGTATGAGGCCTGCATATGCGGAGTTAGGGCAGGCAATGTGCTGCACAAATTCTAACTCCTGAAACCATCTGCCGTGGGGTCTTTGCCAAGTCACTCAGCCTGTCCAAGAAGCTGTCAGTCTCCTTCTCTGTAAAATGGGCTAATGACACACCTCCTCATGGGGTGGGGAGGGGCTGCAATAGGGAATGAGTCCTTCGTAAGCGCCGGCTGCTGATATCACTGAGGAGAGGAGCCGGTACTTCTCGGGGCGCCTGGGCCACGGCATCGCCATGGCTGAGGAAGTTAGAAGGCATGTCTGGCTGCCCAGCTCCAGGTTTTGTCACGTGTCTGAGGACGGGGAGAATGTGGTGGGGCCAGGGGGGATGGGGCTGGGAGGTATCTGTGACCAGGAACACAGGGAGGTCAGCAGAGGAGGCTGACGGTCGGTCAGTTGCTGTGCCTGGTACCCGGGGACCAGGCTGTGCGGGTTGATCGGAAATGGAGGGTAGAGCCTGAGGCCCTGGCCCCATCCCACTCAGGGGCCGTGAGACTGGGGGAAGGCTGGCATTGGGTGGCGGGAGGGCAGGAATGGTGAGAGCCCTCGAGGGCTGGGCCCCTCTCCATCCTCATGTCACCCCTTTCCCTGATTGCCAGGGGAGTGAAGAAAGAAGACAAGACTCTGGCTGTGGGAATCCAGTTCATGCTCCTGAGAGTTTTAGGTAAAGAACCTCTGGTCCAGACACTCACTGTGTGCCTGCCGGGGCTGGGCACAGGGATGAGTGAGAGCCAGGCCCTGACCTTGGGGTTCACTGGTCCATGGGGTTCACAGATCCAACCCGGGTCCCTGCAGGTGGTGTATAAACAGCTGGACAGCCCAGCAGGGAGGTCGCATCTGACATCAGGGTGAGGGGTGGGCTTAGGGCCAAGGACAGATGGGCCCGGAGGCCTCCAGTGGCTCAGAGCCCCTGAGGGGTTGTGCAGACCAGGGAATAAGGGGGCGGGGGGGGGAGGGTAACAAGAATTCCAGGTCCGTTGTCCCCTGAGCACCTCCTCCTGCAGCCTGGATGCCCAGTCCTGTGATCCACGGCAGTGCCATCGACACCACCTGCGTGCACTGGGCCTGGAGCTGTGGGCGTCGGGCCGTCTGCCGCTACTATGACAACGACCTGCTCCGAACTCGGTGAGACCCCGGGCTGCCAGGGGATTGTGGGAAGGCTGCTGAAAGTACTGGGTGGGGGGTGGGGGGTACCAGGCAGAACACCAGCAGGGAGGGGAAGTTCTGCTGGTGGCAGGTGCTATATCCAGTCCTGGGATCTAGATACTGTCTCCTCCTTTATGGAAAAGTGAGGGGTAAAGAGGCCCAAGACACAGCTGGTAACTGGGAAAGCTGGGCCTTGAACCAGCCCTCTGATGGCAGTCCGTGCAGGAACATGCATCATCATGGCTGAGGGTGGGGGAGCCAGGGGGCAGCCCAGTGGTGAGAGAGACAGGGAATTGGGGTGGGGTAGGAAGGAGGCCCTCTCTGTGAATAATGCTGGACCCCACAATCTGGGCCCAGCTCTTTCTTCCTCAATGTGGGACCTGCCTTTTCGGGGCTCAGTCTTCCTGCCTGTACAATGGGAAGCCCAAAGGAACCTGAAGGCAGAGAGGCTGCTGGCCCTGAGATGTGTTGGGAGATGGAAACAGGAAAAGGAGGAATAGGAGAAGGAGGATGGGGAGGAGACTAGCTAGCAGGGCTGGGAGCATGGAGCTGGTCACTCCCAGCTCTGAGGAGGCCATGGTTCCTATGGGCTGGGACTGTCCAGGGACTTCCTAAGGAAGAAAAAGTCTAAAGTAGAGACTGGGTGAGTTCAATTAGGGATTTTCAACCTTTTTCATCTCATGGCACACATTAACTAATTACTAAAATGTCTTTTTTTGATGACCTGATTTTTTTTTTTTAAAAAGGTATAATTTGGATTCATTTGCACCAGACAGTTATTGTTATGTTGGCTGTTGTCATTTTTTTTTTTCCCTTTGACCATCTAAGGGAAAAGAGGTCAGTGCCCCTGACTAAATAGTCAGGTACTGCATGTTTTAAAAATCCTTGCGGCACACCAGGTGAAAATCACCGAGTGAGACAAGTGGGGGAGAAGGAACCCCCTTTTCCTCTTGGTGGAGCAGATGGGGGCTGGAGGCCAATCCAGAGCTACAATTGTCAGGCAGGGCCTCTGAGCCCTTAGACCTAGACAGAGGCACCCTGGCCGAGGCCACAAGGCAATCGGGGACAGGGCAGGGAGGGTGCCTGGGCTTCTGCTCCCCACCCGGGGCTCCTCCTGCAGAGTGTGTCCCCCTCTTCCAGGCTGTGGTGACGCAGAGTCTACTGGGGCTGGGGAGGCCTCTCCTCCCCACAGGGCCTCCATGTCTCCACCTGCACCGTGGGTGGTGATTGCTCCCGCCCAAGGACGCCGGAGCCTGGAAGGGAGGTCCTGGGCTCAGGGATCTCCTGCTCTTTCCCAGGTTCGTTGGTCTCCAGTTCTTCTTCAAGACCGGCTCCCTGGCCTGCTTCGCCTTGATCATGGCTATCCTGAGGCAGCAGGGCAAAGAGGAGGGGACCAAGGCGGTGACACGCCCTGGCCTACAGCAGCAGCCGTTAATGTCGCGACCAGAGAAGAAGCCTGAAGAATCCAGGGTGTGAGCCGTCCCAGGGCCCGATCCTGGCCAAGAGTGGCAGCCACGCCAGGCGCCTCCTCCAGGCTCTTGGCCTGAGACGGGTTGTCCGGAGCCCTGTGACCCTCTGTGCTGTCAGGATGGACGCAGGTCTCCTCCTCAGCCTGGGGTGGGGCCAGGATGGCCTCTGACAAGAAGTGTCCATTTGGCGCCCCCTGGAGGCAGAGCCCTGAGCTCTGAGGAGCGATCCACTGGGCAGGAGGTGAGCATCCAGGCCGGGCAGGGCCTGTAGGAAATCTGTGTCAGGGTTCGAAGGGCTCTGACCTTCTTGGGGCGGCTCACTCTCTGGACTCAGGAAATCTCAGACCTTGCCCACAGTCTGGGTGAGGGGCTTCGGTGGCGAGGGAGACCTGGGCCCCTCACTTGGGTGTTTTCCAACTTCAAAGACCAAACACACCCACCTCATACTCACTGGTACCCTATGCATCACCGAGGTTTGACATATTTGACCAGGGCCCCCCACCAAAGTTACTGTGCCTTTTGTAATTAGAATCCTAATTCCACCACGTCCTCCTAGGTGCTTGAATCTGTGTCACCCGGGGCTCTGTACATAATGTCTGTTTCTATGACACCTAAGCCTGGGGGATAAACTGGTTCTCTGTGGTGAAAGGGTTGGTATAAGGACCTGCTCTTTGTATTGCCCAGGCCTGTAATTCCTGGGAGCAGTAATGTTCAGCTCTGTGTAATGAGTAGATCTGTGGAATGCTCAGGTCTAAACAAACCTGGCCTGTGTATGTCAGGCCTTGTCTGATGCTCTGGCCAGGCCTGCTTATCTCCCTGGGAGGAGAGAGTTTCCTGATCTGCTCCCTGCCCCTTCTGTTGCCTTCACCTATCTGACCTCGCTGGGACCTGCTGCTCCAGAGGCAGGAGACAGGGAGCCATCAGCAGCTTCCCACACTGTGTCCAGCCATGTGGGGGGGCGGGGCCAGGGAGAGCTGAAGGGCCTGGCTGGGGCCCTCTGAGCAGCTCCCAGCATGGGGCTTTGAGGCTATCTCAGGTGAAAGAAGAGGGAAGTACAAGAGTTCTCATTCCCATTTTATCCTACCATTTGTTGATACCTTTAAATGGTTAACAACTATCAGAGCCTTTATTTATCAGTGTCAAGAGTTTCAAAGTTCCCAACAGGGAGAGGCTGTTCGTGTGTTTATATTCCTTCTCCTTCCCCCATTTCCCAGGTTTTGCAGAAATAATCTGGAATTGTAGATATAGCTTGTTATTAAATTTGTTCTTGCATACTGTCTCTCCTATTGCAAAAATCCTTTCTTACAAACTGCATTAGAATTTGCAAAAACTGCATTATTTCCAATTACTGAGATTTAAGTTTTCCTGAACTCACTGCTCACCATTATTTCTTGTGGTCTACATCTTCCCCTATCTGTATATTCTGGTCTAATTTCCATTTGGCTGGGTTACTTCCTCTAGTAATGGTTTCAGAAATGGAATGAGGGCGTGAGGCTTTCTGAGTCCTCGCCTGTCCAAATCATCATGTATGTTTACCCAAGAGGAAATGGTTCAGAAAGGTTAAGTAACTTGCCCAAGATCACCAAGAACATACATGGTGGCACTGGGGTTAGATCCAGATTTTGTGGGAACTGGAAGCTTATACAATTTGGTGAGCCCTCTAAGAAAAAGAACACAAAACGAGGTAAGAAAATGAGTATTTATTTAGAATGAGAAAAAAGTCAAAACAACTGTCACACAATTCAGAAAAATAGCACAGGGCATTTCTGCCATGCACACCTCTAAAATACATTCCCCCGTCACCTGCCCAACCCCCCAAGTGGAAGGGTTTCCCACAGATTAGCTTCTGTTTCTGTACATTTTCAACCTGTTTCTCCTCCATTGCCCATGTTCTCCCAGGGCCAGGTGGCATGAAATACATTCATGCCATGAGATGACCTCAGGATTGGACATCTTGATGTCACAATTCTGAGTGAGATGGACAGTGTGAAAGGAAGATTCCTAGAAGCCACTCTGTACATAGAGGTGGCTGGCAATGATTTACCTAAATGCAGCGATGGCTGAGAACCACATAAATATATCTCCATGGACCCAAATTATATTGATCCACAACTCCACTCCCCCGTAGCCAGGTCCCAGAAATGCCCTTGGCCTCTCCAATCACCTCATATAAAGGGAAGTGGGGACACCAGGGAAGGTGGTGTGAAAAGACTTAGCAATCTGAACTGATTGTGGTTAAAGTATCTTACCTTTGCAAATTTCCTGAGAACATGACAATGTGAACACATGCAGAGGCCCCATCAAGCTGGGTATTGATGCTGAATCTATTGTACATTCAGCAGAGGTTTGAAGAAGTTGAGGTCCTTGTGCTTAAAACCTCTCAGGCTGGTCAGGGCGAGGAGACTCCAGGAATCATCGTAAGAGAGACGTGGGCCGAGAGCCAGAAGTGGAGCAGGTAAGGACTGAAGGGGCTCCCAGAGACGGAGGGACCCAGGGTGCAGCCCTCTTCCCTAATATTAGCTGCTGGTCCACAAGGAACCACACGCAATTGACTTGTGTGCTCGGGAGAAGGTGTGAAATTTCTTGCAAGGTTCTACAGGTGATCAAGTCCAGCAGAGGACAGGACTGAGGCAGAGCGGATATCCTGAAGCCTGGCCTGGAGTTCCTTTGACCTGTAGGCCCATGCTTCGACCTTGCAGGGGGGGCAGATGCTCCTTAGAAGTTGGGAGCCAGGAGCCATGATTGGAGCACAAATGAATGAGAAGCAAGAACCCACAGCTCCCTCCCTCAGCATCCTTTAGACCTAGTGAATTCTTTCTTCCTATTCTACCCTTACATGTGCTCTTCTCTACCCAGCTGGCCTTCGCCCCACTCCACTGTATCCCAATCTGCTATACTCAGCTCAGAGGCCTCCTCCAGGGAGGGAACATGGGATAGGCAAGGTGATGGGTGACAATCACCCTGGACGATACAAGATATAAACCCTCCATTAAAAAAATGCACATAAACACAATTGTGCATCTGATTTCAGAGGCTGGGGACCCGTTGAAGCCTGGCTCAAGACCTCCAGTGCAATGGAGGGAAAAGGACAGCGTTTTAGAGTCAGATTTAAACTCAGATATTGACTCTGGCACTTATTCATGGTGTGACCCTGAACAAGTGATTTAACTTCTCTACACCTCCGTTTCTTCACCGGAGGAAAGGAAAATGAGGTTGATCGTTCCTATCTCCTGTTTCCCAAAAGTTTGTAAAGACCAAATGAGTGCATTTGATGATCAACATTTTTTAAGTTTCCGTCTCTATCTAGGATCCCTGAGAGAACTGAAGGAGTGCATAGAGCATGGGGGCAGGGAAAGTGGCAAAGACGGGGGGGGGGGGGTACCAATGAAGGGAGATACTCCCTTTGCCCTGCCCTGGCTGCAGCTCTGCTTGTCCCCTAATCTCTTTTATTGTCAACCGGGGCTCATCATCCCAGTCTTATCTCTCCTCACAGCCAATCTGGGACAGCTTTTCTTACCCAGATTTACATTTTATTGATTTTCTCCACTCCAAAGCAGTCCTTTCTGCTTCCCCTTTTGCTATAAAATGGGCTTGCCCTGGAAAATAACAGTTCTGAGGCTGGCCAAGAAGCGATGGTTCAAGGATGGATTCATTCACCATTCATTTCTTCCTTCATTCAACCAGCCAACGAATCCTACATGACTGCTCCAAGTACCTGTGCTGACCCTGCTGGGGACCCAACCATGTGTCAGATACAAGAAACTTCTAGTGTAAGCAGGCAAGCTGACCAACAGTAACAACAGCTTGAGAAGTCATATAGGAGAGGGAAGAAGCAGCCATGGACTCTTCCTGGGATCCCCAGGGCAGACTTCCCAGAAGGGATTAAATCAGAGCTGGCCTTCTACATTAGGCAGGAAGTCACTAGGTGGCTAAGATGGGAATGGGCATGGAAAACAAGGGGACCAGCAGATCAGAAGGCACAAGAGAGCGAGGCATGTCTGAGTTATGGAACGAGATCAATGCGGCTAGGATGTACCACCTGTGCAGGGCGATCAGGAGAGGGGAGAGCTGAGGCTGGAGACACCAGTGGGGAGCCAGCCTTGAGTTCCAGCTGGAGGCTTTGGATGTTTTCCCGAGAGCAAGGAGGAGCTTCTGAAACATTGATGGATGGATTATTCCATTGGGCGGTTATTTTAAGCAGGGAGTGACATGACAAGATGTGTGTTTTAGAAAGACTGCTGGCTGTGCCACGAGGGCTGTTAAGTAGAAAAGAGAAGCTGGAGTCCACGTGCTCAGTCAGGAGGCTGGTGCACTAATGCAGAGGAGAAGCAGGCTTTGAACCAGGTCAAGAGGTCTCCTGAAAGTGGGGACATCTGAGTCATGAGAGATGAGTAGTGACACACCAGGTGGAATACTGAGAATGGTGCCCAGAGAGAAGAAACTGCAAAGACAGAGGCTCAGCATGCAGAAAAGCTTGGGGAATTTCCACTACTTCAGGAGGGCTGCAATCTTGCTGAAGAGGAAGATGATAGTGAAGGCTGAGATTCAAGAAGTGGGTTGGGGCTCTCAATTTCTCCCAGTATTCTGTCTCCTGAACCTAGATGCAGGTGGGAGATAAGAGGGAGCACAGGTCACTGTTGCAGACTGTGAGGGGCTACCTCAAGGCAAACTGGGTGAGGCATGCTCCTGACTCAAAGCAAACCTTTCTGGGATCACAATACTTGACATTTTTACAAAGTCCCTTTGTACTGGATACTCAAGGTTCCCTGGTAAGGAATGAGGAACAGGGGTTATTATCTCCATAAAGGAGATAGAGAAACAGGCCTACAAGAGTGTAAGAACTTATCCAAGGTCACTCAAGAGCCCAAGTATCCCCCTTATAAAACTCTGATGTTTTTTTCTAATAAACCTACTTGTCACTGACTCACATATACACAAGAGATGCCATAGCTGCAAACTAATGTGATTAAAATGAAAAGGGGGAGAGAAACACCTCAGATAAAGAGACCACATCCTCCTGTCCTCGATTTCTCAAACATCACCCTGGAGCTGGAGACATTCCAGCTAAGGAAACAGAACCAGCTTCCCTATGATTTGGAACCCAATAGACATGGGGAAAATTCCAGCTCAGCCACTTCCCAGGGGTGGGAAGTCACTACACTCATCTCAGCCTTGGTTTTCTCATCTGAAAAATGGGAGAAAAATTCTACCTTTCACATTTGTTCTGAGGATCTAATGTGATAATGTGGCAATAGAGTAAGTAGTTAACCATTGCTGAGTAACAAATTACCCCAAAACTTAGCATCTTAAAACAACAAGTTTTTCCCAGCTGGTGTGGCTCAGTGGTTGAACATTGACCCATGAACCAGGAGGTCACAGTTTGATTCCCAGTCAGGTCACATGCCCAGTTGTGGGCTTGGTCCCCAATGGGAGTGGGAGTGGGGGTGGCATGCATGAGTCAGCTGATCAATGAATCCCTCTCATCATTGATGTTTCTATCTCTTCCTCTCTGAAATCAATAAAAATAATTTTTTTAAAAACAACAACAAATCTCTATTATTTTACCCAGTTTCTGAGGATAAAGAACCCAGAAGAGGATCCATTAGGAGATTCTGGCTCAGGATCTCTCATGACATTGCAATTGAATGTTAGCCTGGGCTGCAGTCATCAGAAGGCTCAGCTGGGGCAGGAGGATCCTTTTCTAGGCTTATTCTGAAACCAGGGTCAAAGGTTTCCGTTTCTTTCTACACAAGCCTCTCCACAAGGCTGCTCATGACATGGTGGTTAACTTTTCCTAGAATGAATGATCCAAGAAAGAGAATGTGTGCTACCCAGATGGAAGTCACTCATCTTTTACAACTAATCTTAGAAGTGACATATCATAACTTTTGCTATATTCTATTGGTCACACAGACTAACCTTAGTAATACATGGGAGGGGAATACAAATGGTTAGGGATAGCAGGAGGTGTGGATTACTGGGAGCCATTTGGGAGCTGGCTCACAAGTGCCTAGAACAGTGCCTGGCACACAATAAGTACTTATTCATTAGTAGCTGCTATTAGTCTCCCAAAGCCGACAGGTTGAGAAGACAAGATTTGGACAAGAAAAGATGAGAGACCTTGTCAAAGTAGATTGTGAGCTGAACTGGGTAATGTTTGATTACATGATAGGAGAGGGTGTGCTGGCCAAAGGGGTGTAAATAGGGAGGGCTCCCTGAAGAGGCTGGAAAGGAGAAGAGGCCAATCTAGAGAGAAGGCAGAGTGTAAGCATGGCAGGCACTATTGGTCACCTTCCCACAGCCAATGCCCTCATCCTTACTTCATGAGCAAGGTGCCCAGAAACATGGATGATTCAAGCGATTCGTGGAAACACCTTCCCCTTTGCCATTAAGTGGTCTAGGAGGGGATGTGTGACCTCATTTTGGTCAATGGCACATAAGGAGATGGTCCACTTGGAAAGCTCCCTTCCTGGGTAAAGGAGAGGCACGAGAGGAGGAGGCCCTTTTTGCTCCTATGCTCTTTCTTCTTGCTTGGGAGGACATGGTGCTCAGTGATCACATCAGCCACTTTGTGATCACAAGGAGAGTCTCCCTCAAGGCTTAGAATGGGAAAAGTCTGTGTCATCAGAAACACGGCGGATCACCAGGCCAACCCTGGATCCATCTTCCTCTGGCCTCCTTGTTAAAGACATAAAAGGTTTAAGCCATCCTTACCAGGTTTTCTCTCACTTGCATTCCCACTGACTCGGTGACAAAGTATTCCAGTTCCCTTTGGGATCACTTCCTTTCCCCGGGGAAGGCAGAGTGGAAATGTGGAATAGGAAAGGGCCCTGGGCTGGGAGGCAGGAGTCCTTGGTCTAACTCCAGCTCTGCCTGTGGCTTACTCTGTGATCTTGAGCAAGGCCCTGCCCCTCTGGGCCTCTAGTAGCTAATATTTACTGACTGCTCACTGTGTGCCAAGCACTCTGCTAAGAGCGTCCCTTGCATTATCCCATTCAATCCTCACATCAACTCTGCTCTGTCAATATTATCATTCTCTTTGTTTTACGGATAAGGAGAGTGAGGTCCAGAGACATTAAGTAGTTTGCCAATGGTTACATAGCAAGTTAGTGCTGTGCCTCTGGATTTTGAATTCAGAGCTCTCTCTCTCTCTCTCTCTCTCTCTCTCTCTCTCTCTCTCTCTCTCTCTCTCTCTCTCTCTCTCTCTCCAGCCCAGGCTTTCTGACCATAATGCAGGATTTCCTGGCAATAAATGGAACTCTCTGGACAACATGACTGTTAGGGCCTTTCTAGATAAAATAGTCTTTGCTTTGCTGGCCCATTTCTAGCTACTTGAGAACAACCAGCCTATCTGAGAGAAGAAAGAAGGACTTCTACCTATCTGAAAGGCTGTCTGTCCTGTGAATGGAGGTTAGACTTACTCCATGTAGCTCTAAGGGCATGAACTGGACTAATGTGGGAACACCACAAGGAGACAGAGTATAGCTTCTGTAAGTTAGAACTTTCCAGCTGCTATTTAGCAGGGGGTACAGGTATGCACAGAGGTAAGGACTCCTCTGTAAAGAAACTTATGGGAGCCTGTGTTTGATAGATCTTTGTCAGAAGTACTGCCATTGCGTAGAGATGGAACTGAAGGGCTTCAAACTTGTGAAAGAAATTAAATGGGATAATATACTAAGACTACTAGCACCATAACAGATAAAACCAGAGGGAGTCCATAAAATAGTGTTTCTTTTCCCCTTTGACACTGAGATAGCTTGAATTTTAGATTATTTAATGTGAATTTTTAGCTCTTTGGCTCCAAGATACTACAGTTCTATAATTTCAACACACTGTGATTCTGCCCTGTTAAGATGCTATGATTATTTACTTATTTATTTTATGGTTTTGCTAATTCTCACCCAAGGATATTTTTCCATTGATGTTTAGAGAGGGTAGTTAGGGAGGGGGGAAGGGAGAGAGAGAGCCGAAACTAGTTTGGCTCAGTGGATAGAGCGTTGGTCTGCTGACTGTAAGGTCCCAGGTTCGATTCCACTCAAGGGCACGTACCTTGGTTGCGGGCATAGGGGATGTGCAAGAGGCAGCTGATTGATGATTCTCTCTCATCGATGTTTCTAACTCTCTATCCCTCTCTCTTCCTCTCTGTAAAAAAATCAATAAAATATATTTTAAGAGAGAGAGAGAGAGAGAGAGAGAGAGAGAGAGAATATCATCCATATGAAGGAGATACATTGATTGTTTGCCTCCCATTCCCACCCTGCCCAGGGCTGGAGACTGACCCTGCAACCGAGGTATGTACACTTGACTGGAATGGAATCCAGGACCCTTTGGTCCATGGGTTGACACTCTATCCACTGAGCAAAACTGGCTAGGGCAATGCTATGGTTTTAGTTCTCTAACTTTCCATGGTTGTGTGGCTCTAGAAGCTGAGCAGTCTATGATTTTATAATTTAATAGTCTCTAGCTTAAACTATCCAAGATTCAATAAAGTGTCTCACCAACTCCAGAAACTTGAGGGCATTGCTCTAAATGCTGTGCTTCAGTGGCCTGCACACACAGAGGGCAACTCCCTCTGTTCCTGTTATCACTTTACTGCCATACTCCCACACCAGCCTCAGGCTCTCCATTCCAAACAACCCTCCTCCCTGATCCCTACTCCATTCCCTCTCTGCTATCTCCAACTCACCAAATAGATACATTCACTCTCTATCTGTTGGTGATGGTTCACAAAACAAGAGCCTTCTCTGTGCTCAGGCTTGTGCAGATCACAAAGGGGATATAAGGAAATAAGATAGTATGGTCATAATTCTCAGGGGTCTAAGATCTATGGAGTCCTGTCCCTTGCTTTCCTTTAAACTCAAATTCACCTCTACCAGGAAGACTTCCTTGATCGACACTGAATATCTAGTACCAGTAACCACAATTATATGGGTGAAGATATGAGCTCTTTAATTATTTTGCACATTTTAAGTATTCTGTCCATCCTGTCTTCCTGAATGAAACTGAGGCTTCCTCCTAAATCAACAGCATGTCTTCTTCAACCACCCTGAGAGTTTTCTCCATCAGACTTGAGGCACCATGTAGACTTGAGCCATGACTCCCTTCTATTTTACTTGAGCTAGAGTTAAAGGTAGAATGATGTTCCTCCACCAGATTAATAAATTCTCAAAGGCAAGTTCGTGTCTCTGTCATTGCACTGAAGATTTTGTAAAAAGCAGAAGCCACATCTCTCCTTAAAATGATGAAGTCCCCAATGCCAATGACTAGGCGTCTGCCCTCATACTGGTGGCTGTAGCCTCAAGAGCAGAGAGTCTAGGGTTCTCCCCTCTTTTTCCATTCCTGCAAACCCAGCCCAGGACTCTGACCACAAGAAAGGATATTTTTTCTAAAGCAGATGACAAATGAATGGAAAAGGGAAGATTCAGGATGCAAAGGGAAAATTTGGATCTCCAATATGTCCAGACTCTTGTTCTCTCTATCCTGGGGCATCTCCTACAAGCTAACCCTCTATGCAAGTGGGCTCCTCCCAGATCCTCCCAGCAACTTGGAGCAGTAAGTGAAGATGTCAGCACCTTGGACAGCGCCCAACCCATTACAGGCCTCTGGAGCCAGCGGAAGAAGCCAAGCTTTCCAACTCCCTTAGCCTCTGGGTGATGGATTTCCTCTTTTCTCAATTTGATTAAAGAGCAGTGGATAACCAGAGTGCCTTGTTCCGTCTCTTCTCTCTTCCTGATGAACATAATTAACTCTTCCAGGCTGGGGATACTTGCTCTTACATACTGCCTGCCCAGCCCCCACCTAGGCATGAATCAGTAACACACAGCCAGAAACTCTTGGGGGATTCATACATTTCTTTCTGGGGAATGGAGGTGGAGAGGAAACTTTCCTTGAGAAAAACGGGCTGTGAATGGAGTCTGATGGTTAAGTAAAGAAAACCCTGAACCAAAAGTCAGGAAATTTGAAGTTTAGTTCTGGCTTTACCATTAATCTAGATGTGATCTAGAGCAGTGGTCGGCAAACTTGTTAATCAACAGAGCCAAATATCAACAGTACAACGATTAAAATTTCTTTTGAGAGCCGAATTTTTTAAATTTAAACTTCTTCTAACGCCTCTTCTTCAAAATCGACTCGCCCAGGCCGTGGTATTTTGTGGAAGAGCCACACTCAAGGGGCCAAAGAGATGCACGTAGCTCTGGAGTCACAGTTTGCTGACCATGGATCTAGAGCAAGTCACATGGCTTTTATGAGTCAGTTTTTCCATTTGTAGGATGAGGACATTGGACTAGCCAATTTCAAATTCCATGGTCCGTGCTGAAATTGTGCGCAGAAGAGGAACCTTTAAAATAGAAGAGGAAAGAGACTGGCCTGAGGTACTACGGCAAGCTCCTGGCAAAGCTGGGTTTAAATTCGTGGCTCCTGGTTCCTACTGCAATCCCACTTCACTTGCACAGAACTTTC